CAGGCCCTGGCAGGTTGAAAGCCGGGGGGGAACGGATTGCTCGGGGAGCGTCCCGTGACGTGGAGGCGGGGGCGGCCCGCGAGAGGAGCGCGAAGCAATGAGGAGGCCTTGCGAGCGGCTCGGGCAGAGCTGTGATTTGCTGAATATTTTGCAATGAGCGGTCGGGAATGCCGCGCAGGTTGCTCGAGAAATTCGAATGCGCCGGGACACGTGGGCGCGGGGCTGCGCTGTGCGCTGTGCGCTGTGCGCTGTGCGCTGGGCGGATGCTTGAATCGTTGAATCCCCGGATGCAGAGAGGACGCGGAGGCTCGCCGAGTGGCTTCTGCTCCGCCGAGATGCGGCCGCAGCCATGCCGTAGGGTTTCCGGCATGCCCCTCCTGTCGCTCCCCGCGCACGCGCCTTGCCAGACCACACACACACACACACATACTGAAGCGACAGGCTGTCCATGGCATGTCTGTACGCTGTAACCGCTGTAACTTGCTCGGGACGGACGACGACAGGATACAAGTCGCGGTACAGTACAGAGAGCGGCACGGGTTACGCGATTCGCGCGGGTTGCGAGGCGCCCGGCGCGCGAAGCACCCGCTCCCCCGCCGCCGCCCCGAGCCGCTCGGGTGCGGGACGGCCTCGGGAGAGGCGGCGGAAGCGGGCGCGGGGGCGGCTCCCGCAGGGCCACCCTGCGGAAGGCGAGTACTGTAGCCGCGGGTACAAGCAAAGTTACATGGCGGCCGTCGAGTGGCCGGGAGGCGCGCGCCAATCGGCGGCGTACAGGTTGGCGCGCACGCGCCGCGCGCGCCAATCACCGTGCGGGGGATGGAGCGCGCGCCCCCCGGCCCGCAGGACGGTTGTGGCGCGCGTGAGAGGCCGGCTTTGTCCGTTGTTGGTGCGTCGCGGTTTCTTTTGGCGGGGCCCCCCGCGCGGCGCGTACAATATCAAGGGTACGCTGGCTTGCCCCGCGGCTGGACGCGTGCGGGCCGTCCCGCACGCTGTAAGCGCAGGGACATCCTGGCTAAGGATGGCTGACAGCGCGGAGATTCTCCGCGGCGGGAGATGGCGGGGCAGCACTTCGGCGGCCGTTTTCTCTTTCTTTTCCTCTTTCTTTTCCTCTTTCTCTTCCTCTTTCTTTTCCTCTTTCTTTTCCTCTTTCTTTTCCTCTTTCTCTTCCTCCTTCTTCTCGCTGCTTCTGAGGCATGCCGTGCCGCGGGTGCAGCACCCGGTATGGTATGTAAATGCTTTATTCAATGACTATTGTTGCGAATGCTATCTCATATCGACAGATATCTAGGGACAAGTGTCACGCTTGGACTGGATATGTTAAGTCTGTGATGTGGGATGGCATACGGGCTAGGATGGCAGTGGCAATTGATGACCAGATAGCGTAGCTATGGTATGCTATTCCTGGCAGTCGGCGCTACTGTAGCGTACCGTACCCTTGGTACAAGGGTACAGTATAGATGAGTTGAACAGTGACCTCATACTCTAGTAGAGTATATATACTGCACAGCATCATAAGACACCGGGCAGTTCGGCGACATTACACAAGAGCTTACGGTGTAGATATATTTGCAGAAATCTTCACCGTATGCTCTCTCATTACGACAATTAGCACGCGGCCTGGCCTACGGGTCCTACTCATTTCTAGTTGCCTCCTACCTGCGACGGTGGCGGCGGTGGCGGCGGTGGCTGAAGGCAAGCCCTCTCAAAGGACCAGCCTTCCGTGGCTTGACTGCCGCCTGCTTCCAGCTTTATCGCATGTGCAGGCCACACGGCACCATGTGTATCCAGGCCTGCGCCTGTGCGGGGCATGACGGGGCTTTGCTGTGGCGTGCTGATCGGAATCCAGACGGCCATACGCGGAGAGCTCATCGCGCGTGCGCGCCCGCGCCCACCTGTTGCCCAATACGGCGGTCCTTGTCGCCGGCAGCCGCCCGGGGTGTGCGGATTCGGGCGCCCTCGCCATGCCGCCCGCATTATGTCCGCGCCCGCGTCGCAGAACATCCAATGGGTCGCGCCGCGCTCTCCCCCAACCGGCGCGCGCCATGCGGCGCCGCCGGCCAATGGGCGCGCGCCATACCGCCCGGGATGGCGGCACGCGCGCGGCTTAATGTCGTCATGGCGTGCTGGAGAAATCTCACTCCGTCCATCCACCACGTCCTCATTGGCTCCCCTGCATGCAACGCATATTTACCGAACCTCATCACCCCCATCGCCAGCATTGCACCTCCCACGTCTCCCATCTCTCCCCCCGCCCCCCCCTCTCTCTTCCACTGCAACATATATATACCTCTTCCCTCTACATCTCTTCCCCCCACATTTT